ATGCCGCGTCTTTGAGGTCGTCAGTCGGAGTGAGCTCGGTCTCCCTGCCACAGCGCATGCAACAGAGCTGTCTAATCATTGATCTAAACATGTCGAAAATCGGTGGATGGAAATCTGTTGCGTATTGGATCTTCCAACGGCGGATGCCAGGATGAACAACGCGGAGTCTATCTACGGGCTTACATATTCTACAGACAAGCAGGTTTCGCGGTTCAGGCGCGGCCATCATCGCTAGCCAGTCCTGGCTGCGATCGCTCACGCCCACGTTTGCCAAGTGAATGTTCCTCGCGGGCGGAGAGACCGGCGATACGCATCATCTTGTCCGTCCGCTACATCGGGCTCCCGCTAGGCTCCTTCTACCGCATTCATGGATATGTCCATGCAATCATCATTGTTGAACATGGCAGTATGTATGGGGACCATTCTGAGAAGCTCCTGGGGTGTTTCTGACGTGGGGGATGTACCCGGATGGTTCACAAACACCCCTGACAGGGTCGGACATAGCCCCACTACGAGCCAGAATCGGGCTCAGAGCCATGACTGTCCATCATTTGAAAGTGGTCGGGTATCGAAGTTGGCAGAGCGGGTGGGCATGCCCGTCGGAGAAACTACGGTATCTTGCCTAACAGTCCGTCGGCGGGAAACAGGCTCAACGGCCATGAGGAATTGCCCCAAGCCCTTGGGTGCGCGTTGGTCCCTTGGATCCAGTTGTGCATTTCTGGGTGCACCACAGAACCGTGCAACGCGAGCACATTGCAGCTGCGACCGCAATCAGATGTTAGTACCGAATTTGCTTCGCAGCTCTTCTGGATCCGCCCACCCGCCGGAACGAGCTCGTACCGACCGCCACGTTTGTAATCCCTGATTGCACCAAATTTGCCGCTCAAAGACAGTTCCAGAGGCATTTCAGAGCCACTTGTATGTCCGTCAGGCCACAAAACGTGGCGTAAACTGCCGGTTCCCACCAGCACCACGAGGGAAGAAGGGATGAACTGGCGTGCTGTGCTGTATAGCCTTTGGTATGGAACATTGTATCACCCTTAGCCCCTTTCAACGTCCCGATGGCCAGCTGTGCCGATCTAGCTAGTGTCTGGACCGTGGTGGATCTGGTCTTTACTGTGACCGCGCGAGTGTCTCGATGTACTGTACGCTTGATGCAACACTCACAAGCCATTACCTGACTGACGACACGCGCCTTCAGTCGTCCACAGCAGAGACTCCTAACCATTGTTGGCGCTATAGGGCTGCACATATGCGAGAGTAGTCTCAAACGCGCTTTTGACCCATCATACGAGAATCTGTAGCAACGGCTATCATGATGAGACGGTATCGTTGTGGATGGGAACTGGACATGGGATCTTCGAAGGCACAATCGTGTATTGAAGACAGCGAACGTCGTCCTATTTCTAACTACAAGAACGATCCACAAGCTGCCAGAGCCTGACGAACTGACTACCTAACATCCAGCGGGCGACATCTGCCGTCCCAGGCACTCGCGCTCTGTCACACTCTGCCACACGCTGTCACGTCTCTGCACTGGCTCTATCACTGAAGAGGATAGGTTCCCAGGCGGCACCACGAGGAGGTTGCAGAGTCCGAATTTCGCCGCCCACATCGCTCGAGGAACAGCATCTCGGCGGCATCGTTGGAATGGTCATCAACGGAAAACAAAGGAAATGTAGAACCGATGCCCGGCAACGTCGAGAATGTCCATTCGACGGGATACAAAGGAGATGCAGAATGCAGAACCGCTGCCCGGCAACGTTGGAATGATCATCAACGGGATACAAAGGAAATGTAGAACCGATGCCCGGCAACGTCGAGAATGTCCATTCGACGGGATACAAAGGAAATGGGTGCAGAACCGCTGCCCGGCAACGTTGGAATGATCATCAACGGGATACAAAGGAAATGCAAAGAAACCGTTGCCCGGTGTCGTTGGAAGTTCATCAACGGCACCGCCATATGGCAGCGTCAACACACGGTCAACGGCATCTCAGCGGTGGGGTGGGGCTGGAAGCCCAGCCCACCAAGAAAACTCCCGAATCCAAGTGGGAAGAGACCTCCCTACTTATACATGCATCGACCTCGTCTCATTTGCCGTAAGTTTGCAACATGGAAAGAGGGATGTTTGTTCGTTGTGCAATGACATCAAGGCCCCACTGTGTGCCTTTGGGGAAACAAACATTCATGCATCTTGGACCGTTGCAGAATGAGCGCTGTGGCGGGGGGTTGATGGAAAACATCACACTTGCGGCTTCCAGATGAGCAAACGGCCCGCGGTTGGCTTTTGGCAGCCGGGGTCTAGACCAGGTCCAGACTGAGCGACGAAAATGTGGAACGACCAGGGTGCTGGATCTGGACTGGTAGATGGAGACTGAAGGCCAGAAGTTGATGAAGACTGCCGGAGACGGAAGAGGCTCAGCAGACAGCTTCCGGCCCGGGGGTGGGGCGTATGCCGGGGATCTGTGCTTTTCCTGGGTGCGGCCCGATCTGGCGCCAACAGCTGGGGGATCATCCGGTAATTAATAGAGCATCTTGTGGATGTGACCATCCACCCCACCTTTTCGACCGGCTACCCTCACTTTCATCGTCCAGAACGACTGCATCGACGCAACTGGCGGCATTCGCTTGGTTTATCGCTCGTCAGCTAAGGTCACTTATGGGGCTTTACCTTGACTGCCTTTGCACCGAGTCGCCGCCCTCATTTTCAGGCTGCACCATCCGGAGACTAGTCGATTCATGAACTTTCTGTTTCGAAGCCTGAGAAGGGCACACCCAGAAACACAAAGGGGCCTACTAACATTATCCGGAAAGGCGGAGCTGGCATGGCGGCGGAAATGTTTCTGGCCTACATGGACACGACAACCGAGTTTCCCGGCTAGCAACGCGCGTCAGTCCGCGTGTCTAAAGCCTACACAGGCAGTCTCGACTGAGTGCCTGTCAAACAGGCCTTTGGTACATGAAAACAGAAATGGCAGTGGTTGTGGTAGTGTAAGCTCAAATGGTGATGTGATAGTGGCTGTGAGACTGAGTGAACTAGCTTCTCAGCTTCGCGTAGCACAAACAAGCATTGAATTGTAAACTATGTAAGACATGGTCAAGATGTGTACGTCCGGAAACCGCTTGACGAAAGGGACGCCCCAGGACGTGGCATGACAGGTGGTGTCGTCTGACACTAGATCACGTTTGATTGTATGGTGTGCGAGATATTTCCTTCCAGGTCTTTGGTGTTTTGCTTTTGATCGACTGACGAAGTTTGTGATGTGGGATACACTACATGATGACGGAAACCCGATTCTCGGTTCTACCGACCCCTGAAAATGGCGTCATACGTTCCACTACTGTGACTCCATCGTAGAGAGTGCATCAACTGCTTCTGTCGTCAGCAAATGAGTCGTATCTTCACGCAGCGGATCATCCTTACCTGACAGCTAGGTACATGAAGCTTGCCGCCGCTATACTCTCTCGCCAGAAGTGCCACGTAATGAGGCTGTATCGTCAGAGGCCTGCAACAGCGATAAACCGGCTTGATCGGAAGCAATGCGGTCCTCTCCTTCCTGACCGACCAATGGCGGCATCATTCGCTGTATGTTCGCGGCTATCCTGAGGATTTCTGACTGCAAGGCGAGCTCCTGCTCGGGACCCATACGACCTCGAATGGTATACTCTGTGACGGCTCGCAGCTGATCCGCGGCCAGCTGGCGAAGTCTGTGACAGTATTCAACGGATCTTGTGATGCTCATGGTCAGCGTTGTGGGCTGGGGTGCTGGGGCAAACATCAATCGTAGTAAAGAAATGGGAGAAGAATGGAGATGATGTGTGCATCACGGGTTACGCTATCTCTCATGGCTTTCAGACCAGTTCTGAAATATGTATATGATATATATCGCACGCCGAAGGCGAGCTGTGACTATGGGTGAATCGAGACAAAACAGAAACAGAATCCTACGGTCACCTTTCGGCCGTGCTTGGAAATAGAGCCGATAGTCACTTTGCACCCAGTATAGCCGCTGCATCGATTCGGATGTGGAGAAGTAAGCTGGCAGGCTGAAGTTGACTCCGCAAACCAATATGATGAGGAGCCTTTTGTGACGTGTACCCTCCTCGCTCGAACAACAAGACTATGATAATCGACGAGGGCCAAACAGCGAGTGACCGATACATACAAAAGGCGGGTTCATTTCTCGAGACACAAAAATGCCTGAGATGACCGTTGCCGGACTCAGAATCAAATTATATCTCCAAGTTTCTCTTGGCACGTGTCTTTGCTATTGGGCTAGCCCCCAGCTACGTTACGCCTTCTTCTCCGACGTCATCTCGGATATCATCTCCTTCGCCATGGACTTCGACACGTCGCTTTTGGTCGACGAAGTCTGGGATGCGAGAAGGGACAGCCGCCACGAGCCATCGGTTACAAACATCCCGCTGCACTATGAACGAGCCAAGGCTCTTTGCCTGAGCCGAGGTGCGCGTCGCCAATACGCACATGATCCAACCGAATTCCGTCATGCTAACATCACCCAGGCCTCACAGTCGATGACATTGCTGAGCTGACCCCAAGATTTTGGGACTTCCACTTCGATCGTACGTTCTCTTCCATATCTGTCGTACATCAATCATGCTCAAGTACTATCTGCCAGCCATTTCTTCTCGGGACATGACAGCTTTCGTCATCGCAACGATTCACCTCAACTTATGTGTCGGAACGATTGCAAAGTTCTCACGCGAGCGACCTGACCTCATGGCCACCCTCGAAGAACTCCTCACTTTCAAGGCTTGTGGAGAATTCATGTTGACAGAGGTCGGCCATGGCCTCGACGCCCGCAACTTGGAGACGACTGCGAGGATGGAAGCCGACGGATCTTTTACCCTGAACACGCCGAACGCAGGCGCCGCCAAAGCCATGCCGCCATCCTCGCCGCTAGCTGGCATGGCCCGCGTTGCTGTTGTTTTCGCCCGGCTCATCGTGGGCGGCGATGACCGAGGGGTAAAGCCCTTTGTCGTGCGGATCAACGACGCGAGAGGCATGTGTGATGGCGTTGTGTCGCGTGTGCTCCCTGTGCGGGCCGGCACCAAGCCGCTGGACCACTCCATCACGACGTTTCACAACGTGCGGCTTCAGCCTGAAGCGCTTCTAGGATCGGCGTCGCGAGCCGACAACGAGCGAGAGGAGTTTCTTGCCCACATCTGGAGGGTGTCCGTCGGCACGCTCTCACTCTCCATCATGGGGGTGTCTGCCATTCGAGTTGCGGGCTGCATCGCCGCCCTGTACAGCCAGCGTCGTCTGGTCGGAGATAGGAAAAAACTGCCCATCATGCAGTTCAGCACACAGCAGCGACCGATCCTGGAAGCACTGGCGCATGGAGAAGTCCTGCATGCATACGCCAAGTGGAGCGTTGGTGAGTTTATGAACCAAAACCACAACGCAGACGTCCGCAGAGGGATCGCTACCGTCTTCAAAGTCCTGGTGGTGCGATCGTCTCGTCTGCTCCGCGAGCTGGCAGAGCGATGTGGCTGGCAGGGCCTGTATGCGCACAACCAGATAACCGAACTCGCATCAACCTTCCAAGGGAACGCCGTGGCCGAGGGCGACACTCTCGTTATAAGCATTCGTAGGTCTTCTTCGTACACGAGCTTAGATACGGGTCCTGACACCTCGTAGTCTCGCTTCTGAACTGCTCATGAACAGATACGGTCTTCCACAACCGACCGATCCGACGGGATCTCTTGCCATGTATGAAGCCGGGATGCTCGAAGAGGTTGCGAGAGACAAAAACCTCGCACTCGGCGTATCCGGCAGCTTGAGGGGTACGACCTATAACAACAGCGTTCTCCCTCGATGCAGAGCGATGGTGGAGGCCATTGGACAGCGCATGGCCTACGAGGCAGCCCAGGCGCAAGGCAACATCGCGCCCGAGGTGATCGATGTGTTTGAAAAGTCTTGCATTCAGAAGGATCCGTCCTGGTTTGTCGAACACGGCTACGGCACTCGATCTGCGTTGCGGGACAACGAGAACGGGGCATACTCCAACTTGTTGCCCCTCTTGCCCACGCTGGTGGAACGGGCCAATGCTGAAGTTTACATCACGGCGCCGTTGGTTGAAGAGGGAGCCATGGAGGACTTCATCAAGGCCCTGCCAGCTTTTGGGGCTGGCGCAGACGACGTAATAGTAGAGCAGGCTCCAAAGTCCCGGCTTTGATGTAGAAACAATCCAGATATTCTAGTTCTATCACTTGCATTGTTGTTCCCGCCATGTGTCAATGTCGCATATCGCGGCAGACATGACCGCGAGGGCAGGACGATTTATATGGTTAGTCTTGATATGAGTCTAGCGGCGTTTCTGCTTGCAAAACCGTGACGTGTGAGCTTTCACTGATCTTCATGTAAGGCAAGCCCTCATTGAATAAGAATGGTGGAAGATGTCAACCAACCATTCGCCTGTATGCACCACCTCTTGTGAGCTTTCCGCCGCAGATGCGCTTGTGGATGCGTGCTAGATTTCTTCCATTTCCGCCTTCTCTGAATGCGCTTGGTGTGAGGATTTACATCAACTGCCCTGACGCCGAGCTAATGCGACATTGCTCAATCACCGACAGAGGCCACTAGGCAAGGGCCCAAACGAAGCATGGCGGCAAAATACTTGCCTCAACTGAGGCTCCTATAGGTTTACGAAGGATTTCGTATGTATTACTTGAACTGCCGCAGTTTCCTCTACATATACAACGAAACCCTCGCGCGACTACGCCTCCCTACTCCGGAAAGCGGATGGCCACCTTGGTCTCCTTCTTCTCATTGAATCGTTTGTAGTACTCTGGCGCGTCCTCGATGCCGATGACTGCACTGATCACAAAGCTTGGGTGGGCTTTGCCGCTGTTGATGAGGTCAATCAACTGCGGAGCGTACTGCTTCGGATCAACGGCTCCTGTTCGGAAACTCAAGCCCTTGGCAAAGAAGGACGAGATGGGGAAGGGAATCGTGGGCGAGATGTCGCTGCCGTACGGCGCGCCAGGCGAATCGTCCTGTGAACTATACACGCCCAGTTGACCCATGCCTCCTTTGAAATGCGCCACCTCAATCATCTGTTGTGTGATAATGCTCTCGTCCATCTCAAGGCTCGAGTTCAACGCCTCCATGCCGACACAGTCTACAGTACGCATGACCCCGTCCGGCTCGCGAGCCAGAATCTGGGCGACGGGGTCTTCGTCAGCAAAGTTGATCGGGATGGCGCCGATGGAAGCGGCGAGATCGAGGCGCTCCTTCACATGGTCGACGACGTAGACCTTGGACGCTCCACGCAGAATGGCCGAGTAGGCAGCAAGCAGCCCAACGGGACCCGCCCCGAAAACGGCGACAGAATCGCCGGGTTCGAATCCGGTGTAGTCGATGCCGGCCCATCCCGTAGCGAAGATGTCCGAAACGGTCAGGTAGTCGCGCTCGATCGTCGAGTTGGCGGTTTCATGAGTCAACGGGATAGGGATCAGGTTGGCTTCAGCGAAGGGGACCCTCGCGTATTCAGCTGCGCAGCCTCTTGTCAGTGAACCTCTCTTTGGCATGCCCAGGATGCATATCGAGCAGGCATATTCGTACCTTGCAGACCGCCTAGACCCATCTCACTATTCCCGAAGCCGAAGTATTCCTTCGACCTCGGATCCATCTCCAGATGGTCCTCAGACACGGTGTCGGGAATGATGACATAGTCCCCGACGGCGAAGGAGGACACGGCGTCGCCAATTCCGAGATGTAGCCGACGGCCTCGTGGCCCATCGTCCATGGCACCGCACCGCCCATGTAGCCGTGGTAGATGTGCAAGTCGGATCCGCATACAGCCGCGGTGGTCACCCGCACTACGACATCCGTCTCGTTCAGGATGGCGGGCTTGGCGACATCTTGAACCATCATTTCGAAAGGCGTGCCATGGTAAACGACTGCGCGCATGGTCGCGGCTGGCCAGGAAAGATTGAGTGACATTGCTAGGTGTCAAAGAGCGTCGATGCTCGAAACAGTTGTGTATATGAGGCGATGATACGATTCTATGGCGCGTGTGACGACGATCTGATGCGATTCTTGGTCCTCATTCACAAGAGGTTTGGGACTTTGAGACCTGGCGAGAGCCATAGTTATACGGGCATATGTTGCCAAACGATGCAAGCTTTCCTCTACTAACACAATTGATTTACTACGTTGGCACATATTGTTGGAGCACTCGTAGCCTAGCCAGTTGGTGTAGCAAATAGCTTGAGCAACAAACGTTGAAGAAGCAACAGGGTATGCGATATGCCTCGCACGCGTCGAAATAGACGCTCCGGCCGATATGACCGTCCTCAATTGTGGAGCCGTGGCTGCCGTGTTCCGATGCGCACATCAGCATCCCAAATGTCACGCTCAAAGGCGATCTTTCTCCACTCTGTCGAGATGGAGGCAGAAAACGGCCTGGCCCAGAGCCCTTTCTGGCCTCAATCGGCAGCAAAAGACGACATGACCCCTGCGTGGATACCGCCAGGGATGCTGACGGCCCACACATGGAGGTTCAGAAGCATATCTGGATTCACGGGTGCCACAATAGTGGGAACATCGGAGCAGCTTTTCGCCGTTTCCACCAAGGTGTGAGGCTGCCAGAAAAAAACCTTGCATCAGCTTTCGGCTCTCCGAACCAAGCGTGCCCCGCTCTTCACTAGACCTTGTCATTCAAATACGGCGCATGTCGCAGTGCCACTTCCGTCCGAAGAAGCATTTATCAACTAGACCCACGGATACTATGTGACATTGATAGGCGCCGAAAACCACCCTTTGTTACGCATCTTGACTCACTTGCACGTACTCAACTCCCGGAGCCATGCTCTGCGTCTGGCAAACACACGCATCCATGTCCTCGTATGTCGCTTGAGAACCTCCCGTGCCGTACAGACCCGCCTCCGACTCTCGTCTTGCCTTCGCTCGGTCGGCGACGGGACCCACAGAACCCAGCAGCAGTTTCTGGCCGAGGAGCGGGCCCGGGCCTCGCAGCAGTATCTGGCCCGCGTCCAGGTGGAGGTGGTCGATGATGTCCATGCCGGCCTGCCCCAGCTCGTCCAGTTCTTTCCACTGCTGTCCGCCGTTGCTATGCGCAGACCCAAGAGAGACTAGCTGCATCGTGTAGAGATCTTGACGCAGGGACTTTTCCGACTCTTTGACGCGTTTCGCCAGCGGCACGAATAGTGTCTTCCACTGCTTCTTGATGTTGATGAGCGTTACGTTAGGGACGTCGTCTGGTAAGAAGCTGACGGAGACGGTCGGCGTCGCTCCGTTGTCACTTGTCAGGCTCGCACGGGCTACTTGGGCTTGGAGTATGAACTGGGCCTGGAGCTTCGATATGCCAGCCGCATGCAACGTTGGCGGCTCGCCCATGATCTTCTCGTGCGTATCCATGAAGTCGTCCAGGGTCCAGCTCTTGGCGAAACGAGAGAGCGCCGCAACGATCTCTGGTTCTACTTGGTGTTTGACATCTACGTCGCCTACATCCCGACTATGTCGAACATGGTCGATGACGGCGCTGATGCGATGCTCGGCAGTTGTAGCCTCTTCGGGGCTCGGAGAACTAGCCGTCGGCGGTCTGTCGTCCCACAGACGGATCATTTCTGCCTTGGATCGGGCTGCTAGCATGCCCTGATAGAGCTGTTTCTCATCCGCCGCATATGGGTCGTCATCGGTATCAGATAAGTAATCCAGGCACTTGACCAAAACCTGGAGCTTATGGATGTATGCGAGCTGTTGCAAGTGGCCCAGCAGCCTGATCTGGGCAAGTGTTTGCGACCTATCTAGCAAGCTGTTGTTGATGACATGAACAACGAACATGAAGCTGCGGGATTTTGCGCCTCGCACAGTCCAAGGCCGTAGCAGGCGACACGCTTCGTTATGCTCATTGTATGAGTATCGGGGTGGACGAGTTACGGTCAGTGGATAGTGCGTGGACAGGGTCTGGTCTACGTCTGTTTGTAAGCTATTGAGAGGTCTCGATGGATTACAGCCCATTGTTTCGGCGAGACCAATACGAAGGTTTTTACGCCGACCTGATGGCAGACTGGCGTTGGCACGATGTCTCTTCATACTTATACCGCTTTGCGCAAGATCCAGAAGCGGTGACATGGGCCCGGTACATGGCTGCCCAATTCAGCTTCCTAGGCCGTTGACTTCGCTGCTCGATGTTCAGGGCGTGCACAGGTTCGAAAGAGCCCAAACCATCCCCGCGGCGCAAAGAGCCACATTTTGTAGTGTTGCATTCCGCTTCGCTGAACCCACACCAGTTGCACCATGGAGGGGTCGATTTGGGCAAGGACACCCAGAACTGCCCGTGATCGCATCTGCCACGACACCATGACTGACATCTATTCCACAAGACGTGTCATGGGCTCCACGAAGTATACAGCATACAGCCTTTCTCAAAGATCATTTAAGGTCTCCTCTCCCAGACCCCCTATCCGTAGACTTTCCCGGTGTCAGAGACGGAGTAACAAACCCCGGCCTGCCGTCCTTGCTCTTGTCATCCATCAACCAAATCTACCCACCAAGGGCTCACGTAGCCAGCGCAATCAGCAGCCAGCGCAATCAGCTTACCTCCGCCATGGGGAATGTTGCCGCCTTCACGACCCTCTTGACGTGGGGTCCGTTCTTGTATGCTGCCATGCTCATCCTTCACCAGTATCTACGACTACGACACATCCCCGGCCCCCCTTCTGCCGGATTCTCTCCTTGGTGGCTTGTACGTGCCGTGTATAGCGGTAGCATGCACCTCAAATTCTACGAGGCCAGCCAAGAATATGGTGTTTACCAGTGTTTTCAATATCGTTCACGACGCTCGCTAACTCCTCTCACAGGATCTCTTGTTCGCGTCGGTCCAAGCGATGTTGTGACGAGCGACCCGGACCTCATGAGGCATATGCTCGGCGTGCGCACCAAGTACACGCGTTCGGACTGGTACAACGCGATGCGACTGGATCCAAGAAACGACAACGTGCTGTCCACCAGAGACGATGCAGTGCACACCAGACTCCGGTCTCAGATGGCGGGAGGGGTAGGTCATCTTCTCTCGTGTGCCACAGGTCGATTCGTATGGACTGCTGACGATGGCGACAAAGTATTCTGGCAAAGAAT